GTGGCAGTAATTAGGCCTGGGTGTGGCTAGAGAAATTGAACTCAGCTTTCCAAAGATGTGATAAACCACAGTTGATTTATGTTTTAACAGGGGGGGGGGGGGCAATCACTTTTTCACACAGGGCCATGTAGGTTTGGATTTTTTTCCCCCTTAAAAATAAAAACCTTCATTTAAAAACTGCATTTTGTGTTTACTTGTGCTATCTTTGTCTAATATTTCAATTTGATGATCTGAAACATTTCAGTATGACAAACATGCAAAAAAATAAGAAATCAGGAAGGGGGCAGCAATTTTTCACACCACTGTACAGTATGCATAGGGGAGCAGAAGTACAATAGGTGAGATTAGGAATTTTACCTCCCCCTGAACATATTTTACACAAAGGGGACATTGACAAGAGTGAAAAATATTGTCGACCGCCCCCACCCTCCCCAAACCCCAAACCAAAAAAAAAAAAACAAAACTACCCTGAATATTAATTTGAAAAACAACTTTGGTTGGTTTTGGTTTTATTGTAACAGTTTTAATAGGTGCAAAGCCTAATATATATCCAACTATGATAAAGCTCAGATACCAGAACAGAACTCAAACACTAAGACAAAGACCAGACTGATTATGAGTGCCAATTTAAACACCCTAAGCTCCACCCCAGCTACTCTTCATGGACAAGTACAATAAGCCTCAATTTAAACCAGTGCTGAGTCAATGTCACGAAAGTCCGACCGGACGAACGGTCGAATGGCAGGAGAGCGATAAAGACCCTATGCGTAGCGGCGAGACGGGGGTTAGCCCGAGCTCAGCTGTTCAGGAGAAGCCGTATAGAAACCTATGCCCTCAGGCTAAGGACGAGAGTGACCTGGTGCTAGGCGGGTCTCAAGGCAACAGGACAACAATGCTGAGCGAGTAGCAGAGCAGAAGCATGAAATAAATAGGCTACACAACAAGACACACCAGAAAGACATGAATAATCACAGGGAACTAGAAACAGAAGGAACGTAGAGCGCACTCTAGGTGTAATGAACGTGACAGTCAAAGTCTGTAATCAACACAAAACAGTGAAGTACAACACTGTGGATTTACAACAGGTAACACAAATAACAATCAATGCACAAAATAAAAATATTGATATTTACAAATATGATGAGAGTGGATATACTGTACAAACATTAAACATTATCTTTTTCCATACCTTCTAGAACAAGGACAAAGATAATAAGCTAGGTTAAAAATAAGTAAGAGTGACCTTATCAGAGGGTATGTAACAACCCTTTATCACAGCGTACTTAAACATTTTAATTGCCACGCAGCTTGGGTGGGGTCAGCAAAAGTTCCAATCTCAATAAGTATATATTTTTATTTATTTATTTTAAACACAATTTATTTAAAGTCAAATGTCTTCCTCAATTAAGTTAGTTTTAATAAAACAACATTCACAACATAAAATAATTCATAACAGAAAACTATTTAATCTATTTTGATGAGAAAACGGTTTTGTTGTAAATCTCAGTGTGTTTTTTTCATGTGGAAATGTGTTTTTTTAGGTTCATGGACACATACTGTATGTAAGGGCAAATCTAGTATTTTAGCTCAAGCCTAATAAATATTTACAGTAAATGTAACTGATAAAATCGGTTTAATTTGTTTCGTTCCTAATATACTGATATGGATGGATGCAATTATTCACATCTACCTCAACCATAAAATTTAGGCTGAAGACTATAAAAAACAACACAAGCAAATTTTGACTAGCTTCTGCATTTTTCATTAAGGGTCTGTTGTACTTCCTGTTAAATGCAGTGTGTCTATGTTTTAACTGATAAACAGTTAAGTTTATTACAGTATTTTGTAATGCTGTTCATTAATGACATTGTGAAAAAATATGGAGATAGTACAATAAAAAATAAAAAGCCAAAAGTTCATAATAAAGGTACTTGAAAATAAAGTTTATTTCTTCAGTGATGTCAGTCAAAATGGCATCATGAAAGCAAAAGGAGTTTCAGAAAGATTTTTCCTGCTTGACAAAAGTCCCTGACTATTGGTGAGTCATGCCCTGGTGCAGGATTTTATTTTGCAGCTCCTAATACTAACTTTCAGTAGTCAAGATTAAAGGAGAACTGCAGTCCCAGTTTCTCAGAATGGTTATTAAATCTCAGAAACAATAAACTGACAGTATAGAAAAATTTTATAACTGAAAAGAAAAGGCTATGAAGTGATAAGTTGTTTCATTTTCAGACTGAATGCATCTTAAATCATTTTAGTTACCAACACATCCACAGTATTTAAAACATTGTAGTATTCATAAACATCTTAAATTATTTATTTCAAAGATAAAAATTTGCTTTAAAAACTCTTGTATTTTGATATATACTCATTTATATCTTGGTCATAGTGCA